TTAGGTATAATTAGCCTCTAGATCTGCCATGTAGCTGTTCCACTGTCTATGATAATAGCATTTACTTAACCAACTAAGGCTACAAATAGTTGCACAGCAATGTGTATAGATGGGACCTGCAACTTACAAGTTTAGTGTGGAGTGTTCCTATGCCAGCTATGTCTTTTTGAGGTTATTCCAGTTTATTGTCTGTGCTACACTCAGATATTGTGTTCAGTTGTCATTAGACTGTCACATAATTAGACCTGAAATCAGATTGAAATGGGTCTAAATTGGGGTGAGCAAACTTAAGGGGCTTGGGAACCAAATTTGTGCCTTGACTCCCTATGTTGGTTGAACAGAGCCCAACACTGATGTTTTCCGTTCATTTAAAAAGTAGGTAAACAGGAGATGCCAAGACAGATGCTTCCAGATTTTTTTTATTACAGTGGACCCTCTACTTACGGAATTAATCCGTATTGGAACGGTGGCTGCAAGTCGAAAAGTCTGTAGGTCGAATCTCCATTGACCTACAATGCATTGAAAACCGATAAATCTCATAACTGGCAGTTTTTATTCTATTTTTGTTCCATTTTGGGTTTTTTCTGGTCTGTAATTCGATTCTCTGGCTGCAAATCGAATCTAAATTTTGCAGCCAGAGAAGTCTGTAACTTGAAAAGTCTGTAAGTCGAGCCGTCTGTAAGTCGAGGGTCGACTGTATTATTATTTTGCAAGTAAGAGAGAGCTCAGGGAATGTTTTCAAAGCCCAAGAAATGAAGACTGCTTCTCCTGGAGACCTTCAGGGGCAGATAATCAAACATTTTTTGGTAATTGCTTTCCATTTTTCCTAGTTAAGGGCTTTTGGGGCCACTGGGGGCATGAAGATTACACCTGGGGAGCTGGGTGCAGCCCATGATCCACATGTTGCCCATCCTTGATCTAGCTACTCCATCCCATTTGGAATCATTTGGGAGCTGAAAAGCCACCAAATGATCTACTACCTTGCCCAAGAATGGATACTAGAGACTAAGTGGTTCAGTAGTTAATGTCGGGAGTATATCTGCTGTACTTTGAGTGTGTGTTCATAAACATGTACTAGCAGAAACGTTTTAATCTTATTCAAGAAAGAATGTAGCTCCCTGGAGAGAACTGGTGGAAACTTAATAGAATTCAGTGCTCTTCCTTTAACTCTGGATGCAAAACTTAAGACAGACCAAACTTAGTTTAGAAAAATAGTTTGTATTTACACATGGAACTTAAACAACGTATCTTCAGCATAACGGCTTAACATAACATCATAATATGATAACATCACATATCCATATACAGTCACTGGTTACTCACAACCCAGTATAACACAACAGCATGACTACTCCTCTACCAGAGCATCCTGACTGCTCCTATACTAGACCAGCGTGACTACTCCTTTACCAGAGCAGTAAAGCAATGCTCTTACAGAGCTACGTTTATACAGAGAAAAAGCCTCTGTAATCAGCAACATCTTCCCAACACAACTCAAGCCTCAAACTCTGCCTCAAACCAGCAACAGGTGTATGCTTGCACTTTACATACAGTCTTTTTTTTTTACATATTTTACTTACATGAGAACATTTCATATGTTCAAGACTTTAATTTACAATATAGTGGCCTGCTGCATTACATATACAGTGGTGCCTCGCTTAACGATGTTAATTGGTTCCAAAAAACCCATCGCTATGGGAAACATCGTTAAGTGAAACACCATTTCCCATAGGAATGCATTGAAAACCGGTTAATCCATTCCAATTTGAATGGATTAACGTCCTTAAGCGTAAATCCCCATAGGAAACATCGCTAAGTGAAACAGTGTTTCCCCAACGGAAAGCCATTCAAAAGCACTGAAGTCGGCTTCAGTGTTTTTGAATGGCTTTCCGATGTCCGTGTTAGCTCATTTTTAAGTGTCTTACAATGTTTGGAACATGTTTTAAATGCTTGGAATAGTTAGTCCACCTTGTGAAACCTATGCACACTTAGTTTGGCTTTCTTCTGAGTCTTCGTTAATTTTTGGTGATTTTTGTTTTTTCCCTCATTGAAATCCATTGGACGGACAATGGGGAAAACAAAAAATCACCAAAAATTAACGAAGACTCAGAACAAAACCAAATTAAGTTTGCACATGTTTCAGAAGGTGCACTACCAAATCCAAGCATTTAAAACAGGTTTCAAACATTTTAAGACACTTTTAAATGAGCAAAAACGGACATCGTTAAGTGAAATTCCCCCATAGAGAACATCGTTAAACGATGGGGAAATTTCCTCAAAGAAACCCATCGCAAAGCGAATACATTGTTAAATGAAGCAATCGCTAAGCGAGGCACTACTGTATCTTGACAGTTAATCCATTGCAATGGGGCTCAATGAGTTTTTTCCCCCAGCATTGGACTGCCCACTGCCTGCTTTAGGTATACTGGAACCCTGCCTTATAGTGAGGAGACATTCACCACTCCTTTTACTCCCTCAAACATTTTCCCCAGTATACAAGTGGTGATACTTGCCTCATGAAGGACCTTGTTCACATCCCTCAGGCTGCACAAATTGAAAAATGACCATAGTCTCTAGATAAACAAGGGCCAAAGTTAAAATCAACCTTATGCCCGTATCAACCATAGCAGCCAAGTCATAGAAACCAGGGGCATGCTTTGTGTTTGGTGAAGTCCAGAACCAGATGAAAGCAGAACTTCTCTGGAGATGGTGGAATCAAAATCTGAACACTCTGGAAGATCACTTCGCAAACTGTATTAAGAGGAACACAAACAGTGATATGCCTTACGTTTCTGTTCTTAAGGAAAACACTAGATCACAAGGAATGGTCTTAGTACGATGCTATGCTCGCATCCCTGTTCTTTCATAGAGGGATGATGAAGTAATATATTGCAGGATTGATCCAGCACTCAGTGCTTTTTGGTATTTCCTTCTCCTAAGACCAGTCATATTAAAACAATTTTGCTCTGATTGTCAGAATTCAACTAGTAGGCATGGTATCCTTTATGGAGTGATTAAGCCTCTTGTATTTCAAGCCAGAAGGAAGGAAGGAATATATATACACACAGTGAGTATCATCACAAGTGGTCACTGTGATCAGGCAAATGACTAATTATCTGCATGAGCTCTGGGGTTGAATTGGTTGAAGGAAAGGAAGAAATTGTCCTGTGTTCCAAGGACTCAGGATTTTGATTAAACAACATTATGTCCATTTATTAGAAAGAAAATTAACTGGTGCTTTCTTTTCCTTGTTTTCTTTCCTTCTCTGAGTGGAAGATAACACTCTTGGATGTTTAAAGACGCAAAGCCTCTTTGAAGTCCACATATCTTCTTGTGTATATTAGCATCTGTTTCTGAGAGAGAATGCCAAGTTTGGGTAATAGATCTCACAGGCCAATTCCAGTGGTTTTTAAGATTGCCTTTTGCAGTTATGGAAAACAGAGCACAGTCAGAGTAATGTTGCAGTATTACAGATGTGTAATGATGGGTTTCAGCAGAATTACTCCTCAGCTATATGACATCAGTTTAGTGTCAGATTTCAGAGGGCAATTTACTCACAGCTTTTTATGTAGAATGTGGACTTTAAACTTTTGTTCAGTAGCTGGCAGTGGCTGCAAAACAGAGATGAACTTACGTTGGAAATGACCGAGCTCAGATTTCTGCCATTTTACTTCCTTTCCAGAAAGCAGAGGAAAATTAGGGCACCTTTACGTACATTCACATCTTTCAGAGAAATGAGCATTGAAATTATGTTTGTTCATCCCCTAATAAGTGGGTGAGAGTTAATGGTTGGGAAGCAGTGTTGGTGCAAGTTCTGAATCAGTATAGGTGCAGAATCCATAAAGCCAATAGGTTTCTTATATGAAGAAGGAAGACTTTGATCTTCCTTGCTCTGATAACTTCCTGCACAATTGTTTGTTCATTGGCAGCCCAGAAGTAGAAACTGGAGCCCTCAATTAATCTAAGGGCAAAAAATATCCTTTGGGCTAAAGGCTCTATGGCCCTGTGTCACATCACAGACTGCAGCCTAGTCATGTACAGTAGATATGTCTGTTGGTTTGGCACAAAGGAGAGGCTTCAGTCCTCTAGCCAAACAGCATTTGAATCTAAAGCAGCAAACTCGAGTCCTCTTCTTTTGAAACAGTGAAAGAATCTCCCTTATACTGAGTCGGGAAAATGTGCCACCTAGCTTGCTTATTCAGTTAATTGGCTAAGGTGCTGCCCTGGGGCATTTCCTGGAAAACAGCTGATGTCGACACACCACAACTGGACTGCAACCTCCATCATCTCAAACCATTAGCTAACAATATCTGTAGTTGCTGTCCCTGCCCTAAACAGTAGAATCTTCCAGCCCAAATCAAAGAATGTTCTTCTATTGTAACAAGAAATTGGCAAAGGGTGGCTTTCCAGATGTTGCTGAACTGCAGCTTCCATCGGCCCTAGCCAGCATAGCCAGTGGTGAGAAATGCTAGGAGTTGCAGTCTGACAAAACCTGGAGGACTGCACACTGCTTATTCATGCTTTGTAAACAACTCAAAATTCATAGCAGGGAAATACATTTGTTAGCACAAACCAGAATGTCACAAGAAGTGTGCAAGCTTTATAGTCCCATAACTTGCGTGTTTGGAGAGACTTACATATGAGCCAGCCTTGTCCATGAAAGCAGGTGTTTACATTGTGGCTTGTAACTGGCTTTGGACTGGCTTTGACTCTAATTACTTCCATTAATCAAGTTTTGTATTTTGAATATAGAGCCAAGGCAAAAGTATCAAATTGCTGTTATGCAAAAGAAGCTCAGATTTGACCAATGCACAATTTTGTAATTGTTGTTCGTAAACATACACAGCATCAATGTATGCATTAATATTCTTGGACAGTGGGAAATGCTTAACGAGTGCTATGGAATCAGTCTTTATTGTCTAGAATATTGTGTGACCTATACTAGTATTTTTTTTAAAAAGGCTGAATTATAGTTGACATTTTGAATTTTATTTTTCCAGAATCGTTATGAAATTAAAAATGGAGCAATACTTCGATTAACTACATCACCAGTAAGTTACTGATGCATTTACATTAAAATTCATTGTTTAATGTCAGTGCTCTGATGACTCTGATTTATTTTTAAATCATTCTAATAGAAGGGAGTCCTTAACTATAGGATTGTCATCCTATACCTTGATTCATTCAGAGGATTATTTAAAAGGGACTTAGAAATATTTATACAAAGCCTGTTCATTGGTTTTGCCTCTCCTGATAATGTTCAACAAAGTGCAGACCTTTTTGTTTCTTTCATGCTCAGTCATATCTTGTAGGGACAATGCTAGAGCACGAGGATAAACAGTCTTTCATAGCACTGTCATCATACAGTAAATGTGGCCTCTTATCACCCATTGGGATCCCCAGCACTCCCAAGGTTTTAGCATATTTTTGTGATTTTGTTTTTGTTTGTTTGTTTGGCCTCAGAGGGTCCCTCAGAAGTTCCCAATGTGCCTTCTAGAGGTATTGGGGAAAATATTTGCCATGCTTTGAAGGATCCTAGTACCCAAACCCACACCCACTTTGTAGGTGGGGGTGCAGACCTCCAGAATTCAGGGATGGGCATGTGGGAGCCCCCAGGCCTCTGGAGATCATTGATCATGAGTATATAGAATTGTAGCCAACCTCCAAAAACAGGAGCAATCAGTTTTCTGGAGATTGCAGAATCTCTGTAGAGGGGTTGAGACATTAACCTTTCGCCCATGATGAAGAAGATGCTAGCCATTGTTACTGTTTGGAATCCAGTGGAATACTTAATGGTAGCATAAATTCATCAATTGCTGCTAGTTAAGAAGTCAAGGCCTGTTTTTCGTGTCATGCACCTACCCATGCAATGATTCAGATTATGTGATCTGACCTGCTTGAGATGCAGGTGTGATGGGGTGCTTGGGAACCAAACATCATGGACATTTTGAGGCAAACTGTGACCACGGTGATTAGTTACATGATGGCATTCTGGGATGGCAACTATACAGTATATCAGGCACACTTACATCTCCTAGGAGCAAGATACCTGGTTGAGGGATATTATGCAAGTGATGATGGATTAGTTACAGCTGCAGTTGTCTGGCAGGAGCTGGGTAGAGTCCAGATCTTATGGTGGTTTGGGGCATTTGGGTGTATCCAGGCAGTGTTGGGATAGCAGCTAGGAGCCTATTTGCCCCTGGTTATAAAGGGATTCCCTCAAGGACTGCTGGGGGCAGGGTCTTGGCCTGGCCTGGCCTAGCCTAGCTTCTGGGGGGCAATGGCCCAGCCCTGTTCCCAAGTGGCAGGGAGGTACATATTGGCATTTACCCAAATGGTCTTCAGGGGCCTGTCACTCCCGCTGGAACCTTCAGCAGGCTTCTGGAGGGTGGTAATGGTGGATTGGGGCAGTCAGATATCCTGATGTTCTGGATTCATTCCTAATGCTGGGCCAGGGAACTGCTCCTGTAACCAATTAACCTGTGGCCTTTTTTCCTCCAAAGAATTGTGATTATCCTTGTGGTGGAGTTTGTCCAGAAGGCCGGGCCTGTTTAGCTTTAGGCCTACAAATGCAACCAACAAATTCTTAACCAGCAGCAATTAGCAGCTGAGATCTACACTGGTGGATTCATGACCGTGGGTCTAAGTAATAGGATTCTGGCCACTGCCTTTGAAAATCAGATTGAATCACCTGACAAAACAGAATTCTTTGTTTATCTTTTCCTGATTACATTTTAAGACAACATTACAAAATTATTTTTTGCTTTCTAAATGTTTTTGAGTATGCATAATTACACAAGCAACCTGTTCATTTATTTCTTTTGCTCTATTTGCAAATCACATGCAATTATTTATTATTCT